CTTGGCCACTTGAAGTTTGTATTGCATCTCAAATAATTACAGTCTTTTTTAGTCCAGGTTCGTGAGTGTATAGGGCAGTGGTAATTTCTCAACTTAGTAGACTTCTTACCTATTTGGTTCCAGAAAATTCCCTGTGCCAGGAACCATATCCATGGTCCATAAGACACATTTATTTGCTTACTTGCTTCCTTCCTCTCTGGATTTAAGAGAGCTTCTCCAGGAAAGTTATACCCTTGATCTGCATTTTCTTCCAAGTCAATATAACAGTTAAGAAGTTTCAACAGTGTGTTGCCTATAGTCAGTCTTAAGGCTGAGTGTTAATCTGCCTTTGTGTTCAGAGGCTTTCTAATTTTAGACCTTGCTGTTTGAGGCTTTATCTTAGTCTGTTCAGGCTGCTATATCAAAATATCTCAGACTGGTAGTTTATAAACAACAGAAACATATTGTCACAGTTCTGGAGTCTAGCAAGTCCAACATCAAGGTACTGGCAGATTCGGTATCTGGTGAGGACTCACTTCCTAGTTAATGGATGACCATCTTTTCACTGTAACCTCACATGATGGAAGCGATGAGGGGTTTCTCAGGTTTTTTTTTTTTTTTTTTTTTTTTGAGAGGGAATTTCACTCTTGTTGCCCAGGCTGGATAGAGTACAATGGCCCAGTCTCGGCTCACTGCAACCTCCGCCTCCTGGGTTCAAGCAATTCTCCTGCCTCAGCCTCCCGAGTAACTGGGATTACAGGCACCCGCCACCACGCCCAGCTAATTTTTGTATTTTTAGGAGAGATGAAGTTTTACCATGTGTTGGTTAGGCTGATCCTGAACTCCTGCCTCCACCCGCCTCAGCCTCCCAAAGTGCTGAGATTACAGGCATGAGCCACTGTCCCTGGCCTCAGGCTTCTTTAATAAGGACACTAATCGCATTCCAAAGGCCCTGCCTTCTAATATCATCACACTGGGGGACTAGAATTTCAGCGTATGAATTTTGGGGGAACACATTCAGACCATAGTAGGTTTAAAAGTATTTCTAACTTTGCAAGGTTCTAAATTTCTGGAATCTCTCTATTATCTCCCATTTTTATTTGCAACCTGGCCAATTCTTTCCTGAGCTCATCTCTTCATAAAACAAAATGTAGTGTTCCAGACACAGGCAACAGCAGCCAACATAACACCACTGATGTTTGGTTTTCAGACCTCATCTTCTAGAGCTACAGATTTATTAATTTTATGATCTACCTCCCAAGTCATCTCAAGCAACAGTTTTACTGAATATCTTACCACTTCAAAATATATATGCCCATTTTTATAGCTTTCAATATCGATTTCTACTGTCTGACCATTAAGCCAGGGTCTCATATTGTAGGATTTTGTTAGAACACTACTTCTATCACCAATATCTATATTAGTAATATAAGCTCAGTTATGCTGCCTATCATAAGCCTAGAACTTACTTCTTGTTCATGCTAAATGCCTAGTGTGTGTCTTCAGGGGGTTTTGTTCTACATGGTCACTCAGGGACCCAGGTTGATGGAAAGTCCATCATCTCGTATTTACCCCCTTGTAACTAACCACCCCAAAACCTACTGGCTTAAAAGAAGAGTGATTAACAACTTCTTATGATTCTGAGGAAGTGGCCAAGTGACTTTTCTGCAGGATGAGCCTGGGATTAGTCATGCATTTGCATTCACCTGGAGAGTTGGCTGAGGTATGGGTTCAGCTGGGAAGTCTGGGTGTTGCTCTCACCATGTTGTCTGTCCTCCTTACGGAGGCTAGCCCAGGGTGGCAAGTGGGAAAACCCCAATAAGCAAGCTGTATCAAGATTCTTACTTGCTGATGTCATGTTAGCTGAAGAAAGTCACATAGCCACGCCCAATGTCAGTATGGGAAGGTACTACACAAGGGCATGGATACTGGGATATACAAATTCATTGTGCAACAGTCTTCCACAGCTATCTAGAGCAGGAGTCAACAAATATTTTTTTAAGGTCTGGATTGTAAATATTTTAGGTTTTGCAGGCCTTATGTTTTCCCAGCTTCTCATTAGGATGGAGAGATATGTAAGTAAATAAGCATGTTCCAATAAAGCCTTATTCACAATAGCAGGCAGTGGACCAGATTTGGCCCACCACTGAGCTGTGAAACATAAAGCCTTTATTTATTCTCTAGAAGGAATACATGTCAATTCTGCCTTCAGCCCATTGGCCAAAACTAGTCACAAGACCATATCTAACTGCAGGGGTGATGGGGAGTATAATCCTGCTCTATTCCCAGAAGGAGAGAAGAGCTAGACATGGGTGGACACTGGAAGTCAATACAGCAGAAGCCACATTGAGAAGATGTATGTTCAGATCATCAGCCTTATCTTTATTGAGTACCCGGCACTGGTTGTAAGAACTGAAGAAAACAGACACAAAACCAGTGCCCTCATGGAGCTTACACAGAGTCCCTGATGGTGAATACACTGAGAGGGAGAAGCATTTTATACACTTCTGCTCTGGAATTGTTAGTTGTCGTCTCATTGTTTGTGTACTTGGCTTTTTCACCAGTTGGGCTGTGAGCAACGCAAGGGTAGGACTACATCTTCTCTGTGCCTGATGCAGTGACTAATTCTTTGTAGGCACTCTTTAAGTGCTTGTCAAGTAATTGATTGTTCAAACCATTAGACCAAGATAAGGATTTACTTTGGATTGTGGGGAACCTGGATATAGATGCCTAATTCCTGTATCACTCAGGTGCCTAACTCTCAAACCCCTAGAGCTGCCATTATACAAAAGGCTACAAGGTGTAAGTTGTTTCTCTAAATGTGAAAAGACAAGGATAGACTCAAGTCTGTGTCTCTTCCACTCATAGCAGTGAGTGAAAGGGACAACAAGCAAAAATTTCCCTCGAGAGTCTAGGTTTTTGGCCAGAAGTAACGTGAAAGTTCAGGTTAATTTGCTTGCCTTCAGAAGGTCCTTGGGGTGTTTAACAGAAACCATCACCTTACCTTAGGTTTATTATTCTAGAAAGTGTAAGTATCCTCATTTCATAATACCTGAAGATCACTTTGAGACAGAGCAGAACAGTAAATATTTCTCTATTCGCATCCCCTCCCTCTCTCCTCTAAGGGGTCCTGAAGTTGTGTGCAGTGACTGAGGAAAAGGAATATGAGATGGGAGCATGGGACTTAAAAAGGTTTCTACTGAGTAGATAATTTCATATCATTCAACCTAGTAAAGAACAGCAATTGATTTACCTTATGTATCATACCAAGGGATGAGGTTTATAAATAGGAATATTTCTTAAAGAATATCTCTTTTGTTTTAGATTCATGAGCCGAGCCATTTTTAAGCCATTAATTATGTTTTAGTCTCAAATTTTATTGTAAGTTTAATTTTTACCCTGGAACAAATAGGGCAAATTCAGAATACAAGTCTTTTGAAAAAGATATTTTTGCAAAACAGTCCATTTGGGAAATGTGTTCATAGAGAATACAGATAGAAAAACTGGACTCCATTTCTGCTGTCAAGAGGTTTACAATCTAATAATGGGGTCAGGCACATAAACAAGTAACTGTAGTACAGACAATGATATTTTTGGTCAAATAGAAATATGGTTAGAATTGTTTTAGAATGTAGAAGTAGGTGTCAGTCCAGAAGGGAATCGAAAAATTAAAGATGGCTTTATGGAGTAAGCTATCCTTTAAGCTGTATGCACAAAGACATACAGGCTTTTGAAAGGACTTGTATGGGGAAAAGTATATTCTAGGCATAGTGAGTAGTGAGTGGCAGACAAGGGCCTCAGCTGAAGCAGAGGCTGTAGAATGAAAAGGAAGACAGCAGTGGAAGAACCAGGCAGAGCTGGAGGGGCTGGGCTGCAGCAAGGAGCAGAGGCAGAAGGCAGAGATGACATCCAGGTAACCTACATGCTGAAGATGGTCAGAAATTCTGAATTTCTGAAGTCCATGAGAAAGTCATTGCATGAGAAAGAAGGCCAGCGACCTTGAAGTTGCTTCCAAATGTGACTCTGTGGCTTTCTCCTGTGGTTCTTTGTACACTTTGGTGCTTCTTCATGTGATCAAAATTAGAATATATTCATTGTTGGTCAAGCAAGAGCCTACCTTTGTTCCGTCATCCAGGATTTTTCAGTCCGTCTGCTTTTATTTGCTGCCCTAATAATAACAAAGGGCCCAGACTTGGACTGAATTGATACTGCAAATCATCAGAACCAGCCTTCCCAAGCATAAGGAGGATTTTGCCCCTACCCTCAGGTAATCCTGGCTGTGAACATGATGTTCTTGGAGTTGTTTTTTAAATAGCCTTGTTCTGTTTTCAAATATTTACCCATTTAAGCAACTCGCTATTTAATACTGAAGGGGTATTTGTTCTGCTGTCTGGCACCTGGATCCTGAGGTAGAGCTTTTTTCTAGGTCTTAGTCCATCTTTTCATGTTAGAAAAATTAATTTTTTACTCTGAACAAATTAACTTATATCTACCATTCTTGTTACAAGTTATGCAAAAGACCCTGGAGGGATTGTGATATGTTTTTAGGTGAGTTTTGAGGTATGTTTTTGTGTCCCTAGTCCAGAAGGACGTGCCCATAGTAGTAAGTTCACACCCAAGAGCCTGAAAGTTGTTTGCACATTGCACTTCAAGTCCCGAGTTTTAGGGTTTTTTTCCACAACGATTCATATGCACACATATAGCGGGCCCCATGTCTGGACTCCAGCCCACACAGTTATTTGCCAACTCCAAAGAAGCAGAGAATGAAGACACTCGTGCCCCATCATCCATCATTTTTTTCTATGAACCTTACAGCTGAATATTGAAAAATCTGGTTTTGATCTTTTGGGTATTTTTTTTTTCATTTCAAGTCAACTGAATAGCCCATACACATGGATATAAAGAAATATAACCAGGAATTGTTTGTGGTATTGAATCAGAACTGGAGACATCTGAAGTCAAGCCACTTCAGTAGTGTTTCTTACTTCTTTTTAATCAGATTTTGAATATTCTTTCTGCAGGTTGTGTTCCTGACTGGCTTTGGCTATGTGTATGTGGACACTGTACATCAGTGTGGCACAGTCTTCATCACTGTGGCCCCAGAAGGAAAAGCAGGACCTATTTTAACCAACAGCAATAGGTAGGTTTAATTATTTTCCCTGTAACAACATAGTAAGTGTTCCTGTTATAAAGTTGTAAACTTACTATTTATTTTTGTCATCTCTACATATGTATTAAAGCTTTTTGTTAATTATCGCATAATCCATAAAAAATATGGTTATTAGCAATAAATCATACCTTCAATAGGTAGCAATAAACCATCTTTCCTAGATACCACTTCCACTCCTTCTGTGGTAGGTTTAACAAACTGATTTACAAACTATGCATCTTGGAATCATACCACTATTATTAGCATGAAATGCACATTAATACCTCTGTATCTGCATGACAGTGTAGTAATTAATAATAAAACTTAGCAATTAGAGCTACATCAAATATAAATACGCCTCTTAGAGTCATATTTTCCACCCCCACTTTGACCTGAATGTTGCCATCAGGTTTTAAAAACTTGAAATAGACAAAGAGTTAATATTCTTAATTTAAAAGAATTCACATAATTCAATAGGAATAAAGATAGCCTTACAGAAACAAAAATAGAGGCAATAGGCATAAACAGAAAATTCTAAGAAGAGGAAATATAAGTAATCAAAGAAATGCTAATTTATCAAATTAACAATGATGTCGTATCATATCCAGTCCTGGTGAAAGTGTAAATTGGTACTATTTCCTGGAAAGCACTTCAGTAATACATGTTAAGAGCTTTAAAATCCTTTTGGCTTAGACATTCCACTTTTAAGTGTGTTAAGAGTTGAAGAGTTAAGGAAGTAGAGAAGTGGGCAAAGATATACACAGAGAGATGTACACACTGAGAGATACCACACAGTTACAATGGCAAAATATTCAAAGTAAAAATGCCCATCCATAGGGAAATAGATGTACTATAATTGTACTATAAATGTTACAACTGCAAAAAGTAGATCTCAAAGAATATTAATGGAATAGAAAATGCATATTATATAATCTAAAAACAAGTAGAATATAATATTGAATATATATGATCCTAGTTGTGTGTTATCTGTACATACATACACACATAAGTACATATGTATACATACTCACACGGAAAACATTCCTAGAAATAAGACTGAAAAGAAAACAATCAAAATTGGTAACAGATATGGGGGGGGTTAATGAGTTATTTAATATTTAATTATTATTTGATTTCTGTATTTTGATTTCTTATAATAGCATTTATTTTATGATCAGAAAAAATAATATTAAAATATAAATACCACCAACTTCCATACATTTGTTTAAATCTTTCTTTTAAAAAGTTCATTGCAACCGGGTGTGGTGGCTCACACCTGTAATCCCAGCACTTTGGGAGGCCGAGGTGGGCAGATCACCTGAGGTCAGGAGTTTGAGATCAGCCTGGCCAACATGGTGAAACCCTGTCTCTACTAAAAGGACAAAAACTAGCCAGCCTTGGTGGTAGGTGCCTGTAATCCCAGCTATGCAAGAGGCTGAGGCAGGAGAATCACTTGAACCCAGGAGGCGGAGGTTGCAGTGAGCCAAGATCACGCCACTGCACTCCAGCCTGGGCAACAGAGCGAAACTACATCTCGGTTTGGGCTGGGGGGAGGTTTATTGCTTCTCATATATGGTTAAGAAGTCATTAATTTGGATTCTGCTCATTTGAATTTATAATATTTCAAACAATGTTGGATAGGATGTTTTCTTTGCCCAAAAGTGTTCATAAAAAATTAATAGCATAACAAAATTGGAGATGCACTTTTAACTAGTATAGTACAAAATTTCAGGTTTATTCAACACTTTCAGAAACATTTTATCTAGGGCATAAATGTTAATGACAATAGAAGCAACCTTTCATGAGAAAAGTACAGGTATTTCTTGGAACTTCCTTAATTCATTCAACAAATGTTTTACAAGGGCTTACTGGATGCCTACCACAGGATGAGGATACATCCATAAATAAAAAGGCCCAATCCTTGCCCTGGAGAAGATCACTTTCTCCTCATAGGCATGGAATTGGGCAGGGTGATGGGGGGTGTAGAGAGTAAACATAAAAAGAAAGGAAATGTTATGGTGCAGTAGAAGGTCAGCATTCTACAGGTATGAAAACAGAGCTCAGTAAGAGGCGCTGGGAGTGCCAGGGCCAAGGGACTGGGAGAGTGTAGTTTTAAACAAATTGGTGTTGGTAAGCTGCACTGAGAAGTTGATATTTGGGCGGAGACTGGAAAGCAGTAGGGGGTTAGTAATGTGACTATCTGAAGGAAGAGCTTCCCAGGCAAAGGGCACAGCCAGTTCAAAGGCCTGCAACAACGTGCCTGGCATCGAGGAGGAACAGGGAAGAGGCTGTTGTCGGCCCAGTGGAGGGGATGGAAGTGGAAGTAGCAGTGCATGAGGTCCAGGAGGTAAGAGCTAGAAGGAGGGAGACCTCATTGGGACATTGAAGGGCTTAGCTTTAATTATAAGCGAAATGAGGAACTCATTGGAGCATTTTGAACATAGAAGTGACACACTGTGACTTAAATTTCTAGAAGATCATTGGCCACTTTGTTAAAGTAGACTGTAGACAAACAAGGGCACAAGCAAGCAGGGAGACTAGTTAGGAGATGATTACAGTTGCTCATATTAGAGACACTGATGGCTTAGACTACAGTGGTGTCAGTGGAAGTGTCAGTGGAAGTGTCAGAAACAGTCAGATTCTGGATCTACTTCTAAGGAAAAGTCAATGGGATTTTCCTAATACATTGAATGGCTAAAAATAGAGGCATCAAGGATGACATCCAAATTTTTGGTCTGAGCAACTGGTAGGATATGGTTGCCATTAACTAAGATGAGAGAGACTATCTGCAGGTTTAGGAGGAAAGATCAAGAGATTGGTTATAGACATGATAAGCTGAGATGTCATTTAGACATCTAAATGACTGTGTGAAAGGTAGATACACAAGATTGGAGTTCAGGGGGGAGCTCCAGGCTAAGTGTATACTTTGGAAGTCATCAACATATAGATGGTATTTTAGGTCATGAGACTGGATGAGATCCCCAAGGAAGTCAGTGAAGATGGGGGTGAGAAGAGGACCAAGGGCTGAGCCTTAGGCACTTTAAGAGGTCAGGGAGAGGAGGAGGGATCTCCATAGGTAACTGAGGACGAGTGGTCAGAGAGGTAGAAGAGCTGAGAGAAGACAGGAAAGAAAGTATTTCCAGGAGGAGGGAGTTGTCAGCAATGCCATTATTTGTTAGTATGTCGAGTAAGCAAAAACCTGAAAGTCCATCATTTGATTTAGCCAAATGGAAGTCACTGATGACCTTGACAGGAGTTGTTTTATTAGGCTGGGGATGGGGGCACAAAAGGCTGCTTGGAGCAAGCCTTAGAGAGCAGGGAAGGAGAGGAGTTGGAGACAATGTGTATAGAACACACTTGAGAGTTTCTATATAGAGAGGATCAGAAAAAGGAGTGGTAGCTAAGGGACAGAGTGGAGTCATGAGGGATTTTTTGAGCTGAGAGATGACAGCATGTTTACAAGCTGCTAGTAATGACGAAAAAGATGATGGAGGAAAGGGGTGTGAGTTGCTGGAGGGATGTCTTTGAGTAGGTGAGAGCAGAGTGATTTAGTGCACTTTAGAGGGGTTCACCTGAGACAGAAGCAAGGGTAGTTCCACCCCAGAAATGGAGATGGAGAAGAGCTAAGCATGCACTCAGGTATGGTTGGTGGGCAGTTGTGGCAGGAATTCCTGCTAACTTTTCTTCTGCTCATGTGACTTTTTCAATTTAGGGAGTCTCAGTTACTTTTTCTCTCTTTCTGTCTTGTGATCATCATGATAGAGAATTAATACACAAAGACCAGAGGGATTTTGGAGTAAAAATCTAGTGTTGATAAGGGAAACATACGGAAACATGACAAGAGCTTATAATAGTCCCATTGGGAACATTTCCCAATACTGTTGGAGTGTGACGGGCTCCATCCAGAAACAATGTCCTGAAAGTTGAGTTCTTATTTGTTTCTTATGAGAGTCTGATATCCCATCAGGAGGTATTTAATAGGGTACTGTCATTAAAAAAGAAAGAAGAGAGAAAGAAAAGGTGAGTGGGGGAGACTAATGTTCTTGTCCCTTTCTCTTCTAGAGCCCAGGAGAAGATTGTTACATTCAAAATGTTTATCACTCAGTTGAGTCTGGCAGTGTTTGATGACCTCACCCACCACAAAGCATCACCTGAGCTTCTGAGACTCACACTGGACAATGTTTTTCTCTGCATGGCCCCGGGAGCTGGTCCCCTCCCTGGGGAAGAGCCTGCGGCTGCGCTGTTTGAACTTTACTGTGTGGAGATCTGCTGTGGGGACCTGCAGCTAGACAACCAGCTTTATAACAAATCCAATTTCCACTTTGCTGTCTTAGTCTGCCAGGGAGAAAAAGCAGAACCCATTCAGTGTTCTAAAATGCAGAGTCTCCTCATATCTAACAAAGAGCTGGAAGAATACAAGGAAAACTGTTTTATCAAACTTTGCATCACCTTAAATGAAGGCAAGAGCATCCTCTGTGATATTAACGAGTTCAGCTTTGAATTAAAACCTGCTCGGTTGTATGTGGAAGACACATTTGTATACTACATCAAGACTTTGTTTGACACTTACCTTCCTAACAGCAGGTTGGCTGGTCACTCCACGCACCTGTCTGGGGGTAAACAGATGTTGCCCGTGCAGGTCACACAGCACGCCAGGGCCTTGGTGAATCCTGTGAAGTTACGGAAACTGGTGATCCAGCCAGTGAATTTGCTCGTCAGCATCCATGCTTCCCTCAAGCTGTACATAGCCTCAGACCACACTCCTCTCTCCTTCTCGGTGTTTGAAAGAGGACCCGTCTTCACCACTGCAAGGCAGCTTGTGCACGCCCTGGCAATGCACTATGCCGCGGGGGCCCTTTTCAGAGCAGGTAAGAACACAAGCTGAGGGTCTGTGATGAGCTAGAGCCTGGGCAGAAATGACACGCTTGGGGGTAGCACCTCATTTCAAGACCTAAAGAAGCAATTGGCAAGAGGTAACACACCTGAGCTTTACAGTCACACACAACTGGATCTAAATATAGAGCCTGCCACTGTTAGCTGTAAGACTTTGGGCAAGTTATTGAACCTTCTTCCTGAGTCTCCATTTCCTCATCGATAAAATGGCTTTGAAGATTTCTGAGAGGATCAGATGAAAGTATGTGAGGTATCCAGCATTTTGCTTGCCATTTAATTAACATTCGAGCAGTAGTAGCTGTTCTGTAACTTAGAATTTTAGTTCAGTTTAGCAAACACTTTTTTTTAGCACCTTGCAGGCACAGAGCCCTTTCTTAGCACCCTAGAGCAACCAGGAAAGCTAGCCCAGGTCTTCAGTCCCTGGGCCTAAAAGAAGTCCAGTTCTTGTTTATTAGTTTTCTTCATTGCTATTCATGAATAGCAGCAGGTGAGAAATTCAGAGGATTTGTGTGCTCGTAAGATGCACATTGAGCCCTCTATCTATCCAGTGCTGTACTGCCTGTCTAGACAGCTGGCAAAGCGAAGGCTGTGAGTGTGTCAGCCTCTCCACAGACCTGAGCTCAAAGAGAAGGAATGGCCCTTCCACTCTCTGGGGCCAGGCAAGTGGCCTATTGCAGGCTGAGGGCTGCTGTTTCTCAGGGACTCTGTGGGAAAGGTAAGGATTCCTTCAGTCTGGCTGGAAAAGTCTGCAGGGGCTGGCTTGAACATGCATGCAAAATTTTGTAGAGGGACTACTGTGTCCTAGAGACTGGTGGGTAGCGGGCGCAGTGGCTCATACCTGTAATCCCAGCACTTTGGGAGGCTGAGGTGGGAGGATCACTTGAGCACGGGAGTTCAAGACCAGCTTGGCCAACTGGTGAAACCTCGTCTCTACAAAAAATTAAAGTTAAAAAATTACCCAGGTGTGGTGTCGTGCACCTGTAGTCCCAGCTACTATGGAGGCTGAGGTGGGAGGATTGCTCGAGCCCAGGACTTTGAGGCTACAGTGAGCTATGATCACATCACTGCACTCCAGCCTGGGTGACAGAGCAAGACCTTGTCCCAAAAAATAAAGATTGAGTGGTGGGAACCATGTGGTCTCAGGGAACATTATGGTAATCAGCATCACAGTGTGTGTTCCTGAGCCAAGTTCACTCTAAAGCAGTTTTAGTTTGATAATTGGGCTCCCAGAAATTCAAGCAAAGAACAGCATCCAGAGTTAGCCTTGTCAGCCCTTTCCAATAAAAAACATGGAAATCTTACTTTCTGAAAGTCACAGAGGAGAGAGCCTTTGTTCTATCCTCTTTGTAAAGCTGTACTTTGTGAATGCATTCCCATATAAGATTAAGATTGTAGCAGTAAACAACCTGTGTTATTGCCATATTGGTCAGATTACATTTTCTCCATAATGAAATTCATAGACTTACTAGGGTTATCTAGACTCTTTTATAAAAGATAACAACAAGATCAGGGAGAGGGTCCTGCAGACCTGTTGTCTTGATAGCTTGCACAACAATGAAGAAAACAGTTCCCTCTTGCTAAAAACTTATTTAAAAATAAGCAGTTCACATTTCAAATTTAACAGATGGGTGTATTTATAAACAATTCCAGAAACTTTCCCTTCAGGCAATCTTTGCTTTTTCACATAAGCAGCAGGCACGTAGGTTACTGAGCTCCAGTCTGAGGCCCGGCAAGGACGAAGGCTCCCATTCAGTCTCTGCACGACGCAGCAGTGCAGTAAGCAGCAGGGAAACTCTACCTGTGGCACCAAGTAATGGGCCGTGCAGCCCGTGTGCTAAAAACGAGCTCTTCGTTTTGGTTTATATTTTTAATGAGCTTTCACAAGAACATTCTATTTGAATTTTATATAATTCACCTAAAAATCCTCTAAGCTGCCATTCCAATCTCACTGTATACCAACATAAGGGATTCTAATATAGAGGGCCAAGTTTTCAGAGCCTGTTGGAAACTCTGTCACTAAAAATCTATGGACAATCTGAAGATCATCTGGAAGAAAGCAGTGATTGCAGGAGTAGGAAATGGGAAGATGCTGGAGGCTCCAGACTCCCAGGTGATCCTTGTCGAGGGAAGGGAGAGAGCTGGCTGCAGGTGGGCAAGTTGCCCACTCACATCTCACTTGGGTCAGAGTGCCCCTGCCTGTCATGGAAAACACCCTTACCTCATTTCTAGGGAAGTTGTGGTATCAACTTGAAGAGATTTTAAAAATAAACAGGCCAGGTGCAGTGGCTCATGCCTGTAATCCCAGCACTTTGGGAGGCTGAGGTGGGTGAATTGCCTGTGCTCAGGAGTTCAAGACCAGCTTGGGCAACACGGTGAAACCCCGTCTCTACTAAAATACAAAAATTTAGCCAGGCATGGGGGCGTGCGCCTGTAGTCCCAGCTACTTGGGAGGCTGAGGCAGGTGAATTGCTTGAACCTGGGTGGTGGAGGTTGCAGTAAGCCAAGATCACACCACTGCACTCCAACCTGGGCAACAGAGCGAGACTCCATTTCCAAAAACATAAAAAATATTTCAAAAATTAAACAACTAAAAAAGGTAGAGGTAGGAGAGGCAGAATGAAAATAAATAGTAATTGGAAATCAGTAACTGACCCTGTCTGAAGGAATGCATGTGGTCTTTATCCTGAGGCCCCTCTCTAACCCAAAGGTTTAGTTTGATAGGAGCCAGGCAGACTCCCTTCTTCAACACAATTTCCAAATGACCAAGCAAAAGATAGATTTGCTATTGCAGGACAATAAAGGAGTACCTTTGGATCTGTCTGCCCTCTTCTGTCCAGCTCAGATGCCACTGAGATGTAGCTCTGGCCTCCACATAGCCCTTCTATCAGGCAGTGGCTTCAGGCTTCAAGGATTCCAACCCCACCACAGGGGAGAACCTGCCACTGGCAGGAGGAGGAGGCCAAGGCAGATTCCCACTCCCTCTCTGCACCCGTGGCACCAAACTGAACAGGCCTGTCATGGGGGACACTGCTTGGCCATAGCTACTCTCTTTTCTTTTATACATGGACTCGTTGGAGAGATGGGGAATTAAGATGTTTCTAGACCAACCTTCTGCCGTTAGGTACACCCTTACAGCCATTCAGGGCTAAAGGGAATCTGCTGTTTCTTTACCTCCAGAGAAGGCCCTCCATGGAGGAATATTCCACAGCCTCCCCAGCTCCTTTGCCTACTCTTTGCAGCCTGAGCTCACAGAAGGAAGAGGTGGGTGGGCTTCGGAATTAGGAAAACCTGGGTTGGAAACCCAGCCCACAGGTGGATCATCCAGGGGACTATGAGCAGTTGGCTTAGTCTCCAAGCCTCAGTCTCCCCCTTTTCCTGCCTGTGAGGCCATGGAAGCAGTACCACCATGTTGCATGCACCTCTGCCTCCTGTGCCTGGTCCATTCCCTGACCCAGGCAGCAGCTCAGTCACCAGCTAACCTGCACTGATTTGAAGGGAGAGAATACTTTTCTTGCAGTTACTGTGAGAATTAAATGTGTTGAATGCCTGGCATCCATAGGGCCTCTCATTTGTAATCTTTATCTTCCAGAAATTATTCCCTCCTTTGCCCTAAGCCCTAGTGTTATCATCCGAACGTTCCAGAGAAGGGAGGAGGGCTCAAAATTTAAGAACGTCCCTCTCTTCATGGGCTGGGCATGGGATTCTTCGGGACCTTGGCTGTTGTGTCCTCACCTTCCCGATCCCCTCAGATCACTGAGCTGCAGATCTCTGTCACAGGACTGCCCTCCTCTTCAGAGCCTGCTGGTGAAGGAGGGATGGCTCCCACCCAGTCCTGTCCCCACAGCCTTCCCATTGCCAGGCTCTGAGCACCAGGCTGGGGAGGTTGGTGGCTTCCCAGAGAAAGCTGTCTTTTTGGACTCCTCTCTCCTGGCCCTCACTTGCCCCTCCAATTTTTGGGGCCTACATCCCCAAATCCCCACCCCAGGGAGCCAGGGTAAGAGCAGTGCCTGCGGGACTCCACACACAGCCACGTTCCCATGGGGCAGCAATGGCTGTGTGGCAGGCCAGCTTCTGGTCAGCCCAAGCTTCAGGAGGAAACCAGATCCAAAGCTGCCCTCCTGGGACAGGCACAGGTGAACACTCCCCTCTCACTAACCTCATCAGAATGTCCCTGTCACAGAGTTCAAGACCAGCCTGGCCTACATGGTGAATCCCCATCTCTACTAAAAATACAAATAAATAAATAAATAAAGCCAGGCGTGGTGGCATGTGCCTGTAATCCCAGCTACTTGGGAGGCTGAGGCAGGAGAATCGCTTGAACCCAGGAGTCAGAGGTTGCAGTGAGCCGAGACCACACCACTGCACTCCAGCCTGGGCAAAAGAGTGAGACTCAATCTCAAAAAAAAAAAAAAAAAAAAGTCCTTGTCGCCAGGGTTTACATAACCGGAGCTGGGATTGAAGGGTCCAAGACATTTGTCTGGCTCTAGCTCTGCTCCAAAGGGAAGCACTCAACTCAGTAGGATTGGGAAAGATTAAAAACAACCCCTCCATTCTTGTCAGAAGTTTGCATCCCCTTTGCAACACACCATTGAGCATCTGGCCACCCCCGACCAGGCATCTCCTCCTATCCTGGTGCCGCCTCTGTCCCGGGGAGGCTTTAGAGAGAACCTCCCGCCTGCAAACACCTGCAGCCCAAGAAGGCGCCCTTCCTCAGGTGGTGGCAGAGTGCGTCCCCAGCACATGGACCCCTGTTAGCAGGAATATGGGAGGCTCGGGCCAGGCAGTTATATTAAAGCCATTTGTGGGGCCATCAGGGGATCACTTTGATTTATAAAGTATGAAAGTTTGCCATTTATGAATTCACAGGGAATGACTTATTTCCCTTATTTTCTTCCAAAGAAATGGATTACTTTCCCAATTCCAGTGTGAAAAAATGAATTGCAGGGGAAATGGGTCACTTTTTCACAAATGTTGAAAGTTCTGCATTTGAGGTTTCAATCACCCCTTCCCTCTGGTCCATTGCAGGCTGGGTAGTTGGGTCTCTGGAGATTATTGGCAGCCCTGCAAGCCTGGTGAGAAGCATCGGGAACGGGGTCGCCGACTTCTTCAGGCTTCCGTACGAGGGGCTGACCCGGGGCCCCGGAGCCTTCGTGAGTGGCGTCTCCAGAGGGACTACATCGTTTGTAAAGCACATCTCCAAAGGTAGCGGTTTCCGTTCCTTGCAATAATGCCTTTACTCCTTCCCTTTTTTTTTTTTTTAAAGAATGTGCGTTCAGATTGCCTCTAGCTTTGGCCTGTTAGCTTGCAGTGAGAGTTTGGATTTGTAACAAAGCTCATAATATAATGTCTTATGTTTTGAACAGATCAGTACTTGACTGTGGTGTGTGAAAATGTTTCAGAAACTTCAGAATTTTAAGCCTCCCATTGGGAAAACAAGGATTGGCTCAACTGTTATTCCATGTGATAAACACAGAAATATTAAAGGTGTTCAGGATTTCTGCTAAACATCAGAAACCCTACACTGTGTTGCCTCCATATTTTTTTAAATGTAGATACAGTTGTCATAACTTTCTGAAGGATATGGATACATTCTGACATGGAAGCAGATTTCGGGGTGAAACAGCCAACTTTTCTCTAGCACGCCATGTAAACAGTGCCATCTTGTGGCCCAGACAGGTCATCAGACACGGAGGCCAAAGTGCTTTCCCACAAGGACAGTGTTTTAATTTTATCTGTGTGTGTTTGCTTGATGTTATTTTGGTCAGCTTCGCAGAGACTTGGGAACTAACAAGGGCCATCTGAGTCCCCTTTTCTTCTCAGTGGGAGGCAAGGAAAACAGGGCAAAGGGCTTCTTCCCGTAAAAGGCATCCGACCATAGGCCATAGGACAGGTTATAGAAGTCTCTGTAAGGCACAAAAGAAGACTTGATCTTGAAATAGGAGAATGCGTGATCCATAGAGAGGGTGAGGGACTATGGGTGGGAGGGCTGGCAAGAGAACAGCCAGAGTCATAAAAACAAATTCCACGGACAATGAAAAGGACACTCCCCCAGGCCTCAAATCATCTGGGAGGCCTGGGGGCTGAGTTGCAGAAATCCACCCCAGGAGTCACTGGCAGACTGCTCACTCTTGACACTGGAATCTCTGTGGTTCTGTTGTTTTTATGTTAAAATAAGACAACCAACACCTGCTAAATTGAACCTCAGCGGTATTTTCAGCCTACTGACTCACTGAATGTTTTTTACACTTGTTCTCTTCTTCTCTTAGCAAAATCTGTTTGGTTTGTTGGCATCCTTATGTGTGTGCATGCACGCAGATATTTTTCTTTTCAGATTACTGGTAAAGATGCAGCTGCAAAAACGACATTGAGCATTTCTTCCTGAAACTGGACCTGCAATAACAGATGAGCTAGTTTGTTAGCGTCCAGATCTGTACATGAAAGTCGCTCAGTTTTGCTCACTGAGATGTGTGCAGACCTGCTAGAGGAATTGTGGCTGTTGTGACCAAATGCTAAAACAGCCTTCCTTAGGAAAACCAGACAGATTCACGGCTCTCACATGATTTACTCCCTTTATTCCCCTCACTGTTTTTTCAGTTAATATCCTGAATATCAAAATTGCACATATTCTCCATGGCACAATAATTACATCCTCAGAATGGCAAATGATAAGGTTTAGTATCTCCCCCTTTGTTATTACTGAAGTTATAGGGAGGGAATAAAATTTATTCCTAAAGTTGAAATATTTCTTTATCATCTTTCTAAAATTTAGCAATGTAACTTTACCCTTTAAAATCAGAGCAGGCAGATTTTAACCTTCAAAATTGGGCCTCAATGAAGGCATCAATACTGTTTTAATCAAACCTTGACAAATTCAATTATAGTGAAGGATAGTTTCATGTGAAACTCTAGGCTGCTCTCTGGCACCTGTGATTCTTCCCCTTTGAAGAGTGTCATCACCCCTGTGGGCAAGTGTTCCTCTTTACCTCATTTTCTTTTAAATTTTATTGTATCTTATTTGAGACAAGATCTCACTGTGCCACCCAGGCTGGAGTGCAGTGGTGCAATTGCAGCTCACTGCAGCCTTGACGTCCTGGGCTCAGGCAATCCTCCCACTTCAGCCTCCTGAGTAGCTGAGACTACAGATGTGCACTACCACACCCAGCTAATTTTTTAACTTTTCATAGAGACAGGGTTTTGCCATGTTGCCCAGGCTGGTCTTAAACTGCTAGGCTCAAGCAATCCTCCTGTCTTGGCCTCCCACAGTGCTGGTATTACAGGCGTGAGCCACCGCCCCAGTTGTTTACCTCTTAAGACTCTTTCTTCAAATTGCCTGAGAGGAAGCCACCATCACTTGCCACTGGGCATGTCCAAGAGGGCCCACAAGTGTTCCCACTGCCTCTGAAACTACTGCCTTGGGGTCCCTCATGTATGTGACAAGGAGGCTAACCCCATGCTCTTATTCCCTCAGGCACCCTCACATCCATCACCAACCTGGCCACAAGCCTGGCCCGGAACATGGACCGGCTCTCACTGGATGAGGAGCACTACAACCGGCAGGAGGAGTGGCGGCGGCAGCTCCCCGAGAGCCTGGGCGAGGGGCTTCGACAGGGCCTGTCCCGGCTGGGCATCAGCCTGCTTGGTAAGGGGCTGTGGGGCCTCCCACCTGTCTGCAGTCCAGCAGACTGAGGTGCAGGGTCTCCCAGGACTGGGCAACCTCGCCTTCTGCCTGGGGATGACTGGGAAATGCTCAGAGAAGGTAAGGCACTTGCTCTGAGTTCCACAGTGCATCCCGCTGAGGGCTCACCTGCACAGCCGCACAGGCAGCACCTGTGCTTGCTTTGTGTATGAAATGTATCTTGGGCCTCACTAAAGTTCTTAAAAGAAATCCTAATTTGATAGGACCCGCTCTAAGCATAGTGGTGTCTGCACGAGGACAGCAGCATCCAGCTGTTTGCTTTCTGAAGAATATGATAGGCAACCCTTCCGAAGCACTGGCTCCCTCACTCCCACACATGCTGAGCCGCTTCTTTTGTTTGAGAAGCACTAGAGCAACATGCAAATGTCATGTAAACTTCAGTGAGGAGCCCACTTTTGTCCTTTTACTTTTTTGAGATCAGCCTGACTCAGAGCAATTACTGTTTGTAAAACAGCCAGATGGTATAGAGGTGAAGATTGCTATGCATATTTCAAAATATTACAAATGTTTGAAAATAAGTTGCTTTAAAAAAATCTATAAAAAGGAAGCTTCAGAGCTAAAAGCTTGCAGGGCAAGATTATCAAGGATTTTTTTGTTTATTTGTTTGCAAAGGAATTTAAAACTGTATTGCTTGGCAATGTGCCTGTCCCGCATCTGCGGGAGTGTGCGCCTCCCAGAGATCAAAGTCACCCAAAGCAGTGCAGAGCAAAGGGTAGAAAAGATGAGTTTGAAAGGACTTGCCCTCTCTCTGATCTTCAGTTCTCTACGGAACTCCTCGATTGGCAACTGCAGCCAGCTGAGGCTCTGGGAGGAAGTGGTAAAATGGTACAAGTTCAGGTTAAGTTGCTAGAAATTATATAGGTAAAAACATTCAGTGGTGTGGGGCACTGTCATATGTGGAAACTGGGAAGCTGGTGACCTGTGATAAACAAGCTGGGTAAAGGAGCAACCTTCTTGCTTAACTCAGTAACCCAAAGGTGATGGTGACTCCTTTGGGGAAGGCGGTGTGGCAGGGGACCCTGCCCTCAGAAGCCCCAGACCTCGGGCTAGGGTGTCCAAGTCCTTTCTTTGTGACCTCAGAGAAGTTCTTCTCTGAACCTGAGTTTTTCTTTTGTATATTGGGCCTGGTGATACTATTGTTAGAAGTAACAGTGGGTAGTTAGTTATATGGCAGCCACCATGCTCATGTTTGGTAAACAGCACCTATCATTATCATAGTATGGTAGCAAATGAATTGTAAGAGTTGCCTGGTTTCCAAGAGTGTCTCCGCAAAAAGTAACATCTGAGCAATGGCAGGAATATTTTCCCTTAATCTAATGGATTAAGTGGCTGTAACCAGAGGAAGTGACAATGAGGTTATATTGAGGATCTTAAGGTCATTGTTTTGCAACTCTGGACCTGTTGATGCTATTAATTGGAGGCTTAAGTACCACTACTCTGGGGTTGAGAGCTTCCCTGTCTCCAGCCCAGCCCCTCTGAGAGAGAGAGAGAGAGAGAGAGACCAACCCACCCACCCCTGGGCTGGCTGGTGTGTGGCTGTCTCCACCCCAAACCCGACGCCCTTCCCGCCCAAGGGTTCCAGTCTCTTCCCACTCAGAGAAGCCCCAGCCAATGCTCCGTTTTCAGTGTGTAAGATTGTACCTGATGGGAAAAATCAGTTGTGTGAGGAGTCACAAATCGGCCCCGATGAGGTCATCTTTCTGGGCGTGGGTCCTGTTGACAGGGTAAGTCATAACGCTCTGATCTTTGCTGTAGTCATTGTGTCTTGCATATCCTTATCCATGTGAGGGAATTCATTTTTGGAAACTGCAGTGGGCTCATGGGGTCTTTGTGCATATCTGGTAATTTCCAGACCATTAGGAATTCTTGGGGTAACATAAACCTCCTCTGTAGATGCTGGCTGCATCTCCCAACACTGGCCGGCCCCAGTCCCAGCCCAACCCACCCCCTGAGCAGTGTGTCCATGTCAGGGCTCTGCAGAGTTCACAGTGGGCATCTCAAGCTTGGTTCAAACCAGCTTCCTTTCCTGTAAGACTTCAAGAGCCTTTGTTTCATGTAATCGTTGAGTTATCTCAAAATGTCTGGTCCTAGAACTACCAGGTGTGTGGCAAGAAGAAGAAAGAGGGGAGTACAACAAACTGAATCTCCTCACTTTGGAAAGTTATAGATTGGCCACCATTTAATTCTTCCCCAGAAATGGTGTTTGAAATTGCCATATACAATGCAGTGCCTAATTGAAGTTAGAGCCATTATCACATAATAATTTGAAACCCAGGCCGGGCACATGGCTCACACTTGTAATCCCAGCACTTTGGGAAGCCAAAGCAAGTGGCTTGCTTGAGCCCAGGAGTTTGAGATCAGCCTGGGCAATGTGGCAAAACCCCATCTCTACAAAAATAAAATGAAATACAAAAATTAGCCAGGCATGGTGGCACATGCCTTTGGGCCCAGCTACTCAGGAGGCTGAGGTGGATCGCTTGAGCCCAGGTCAAGGCTGGAGTGAGCTGAGATTGCACCACTGCACTCCAGTCTGGTGGAGAGAGTGAGACCTTGTCTCAAAATAATGACAGTAATAATAATAGTTTTAAACCCATGCCAGTGAAATATTCTAGTTGCTCAGTTTCTTCAAAAAGACACAAAAGTCAAGGACCCAGTTCATAAAAATATATTAAAGGAAAAGTTAGAGTTGGCAAAGCATTTTCAAAGGTGTCATCTTATTTGATCTTCACAACCCTTCACAACTTCATAACCCTTTACAGCTTCACAACTTTGATGAGGTAAAGTGACTTAGCCAGGTCAAACCTCCAGCAAGGACAGGAGCCCGGGCCTTTCCACCATGTCGCCTACCCCTGTGGAGCTCCAGGCCTGGAAACCATCAGGATGTGGGGAGATTGAACAATTTCAAGTTCCAGTATAGGAAAAACACATTTCCCCCAAATGTTTATGGGTTCGGGAGTCCTTCTTGACTCTGCTTCACCCTCATGGGAACCCTATGGAGCATTATGAGGCCCTTGAAAATTAAAGCAAGTCTTTAATTTATGCCCAGCCGCACTGCCCCAGGTCAGCAGGGAAAAGTGTCTGCTGGCTGAGAGATGCCGCCGAGGCTTTTGGATGAGCTCCATGACAGTTTTCCAAAAGCAACGGCTTTTGGAAAAAAAACTGTTTAGCCTGCAGTATTGGCATCAGCCTTGCCCACATTTACCAGATCTGTTCCCCAACACCCACACTTTCTACTACACTCTGGAGCCTGCACTGAGAAAGGATATGCAGCTCCGCATCACAACTGCGTTCTGCGTTTCCTCCCAGACCTGATGCCTTCTCATGAACACCAAAGTCAGGATGTCAAGAATTGCTCCTCTGACTCCCACTTCTTTTGGGATGCTTCCTGGTTTGTGACACGCTGCTGGATTCCCCAGAGACCACCTCCTCTCTCTTCATAGGCACTCTTGGCTATGCCATCTGGAATTCCAACAAAACAGGCCTCTGCCAGGTGAATCAGAAAAGTCCCCTCCGAGGGAGTGACTCAAGAGTTGCATATCCCAAGAGACAGCCCTTAAGACCACCATCTGCCATTTACTGACTGGTGTGTATTATAGTCAGTGCAGAATTTAGGAATGACAGGCAAAGTGCTTCCTTCTTGGTTTGCTCATCTGTTCTGGTCAAAAAAGCAGCACTGGGCTGGAATGCACAGTATACTCTATGCATCTCGTTTCTTTCTGGAATGGTGAGCTGTGGCGTGGTATCCCATCTTATGCCTGTCCTTCTGATAGTGTGCCAAAAAAAAAATGCCAGAAACAAAATTACACCACATGGTAAAGGCAGCATCAAAATAGATGCATCACAAGGAACTTCCATAGCTCAGTGACCAAGTAGTTTCTGCCCAAGGCTTAGGAGCAAGTCACAGAAAGCGGTGAGGGAAGGCGTGGTGGTCTCCTGCTCCACAATGAAGGCCTTCCTCCTCCTCCACCTTCCAAGGCACAACAGGCAATAGCTCCTGTGTCCTGTGGGGTACAGCACTCACTCAGTCCTGGAAACCCCTCCCAGGCACGCTCTTCTGTCCACTGGCTTCATCAGATCACAGCCAACTCCATGTGGCCACCCACCCCGTGGGCCTAACGCCAGCAGACAAGTCTTGGGATCAGTTTCCACTCTTGAAAGCCTTCAAGCAGAGTTTGAGTCTATGACAGTCCATAATTTACCAGTTGAGGGATTTACTTCAGAGGATATACTTCAGAGGAGAGCCATTCCAGGCTCTGAGAGAGGCTGCCTCTCTCAAAGCAGGGCTGCAGGGACCATGAAATGGCTGCTGGTCTCTTAGCCTCTCTGTTCCCCAGCTTGTGAGCACAGAGGTAGATAAGGCACCTGGTGGCTGGTGAGGAGTTGGTGTGACAGGCCAGCTTTCCCCCTCAAAGGTCTGCTGCTGAGCCCGGGGCAGGTGGTTCCACAGCTCCCTCTCGGACTCTCAGAATCTAACACCTTGTCATGGGACTCAGGCTTTCCACTTTTGGGGAGCTGCCCAAATCGTCTTATCTGTCAAAGCCACAGTAACTGGAGCCTTCACTGTGGCCAGAGAAAACGGAAGAGCATAACAGAGGGAGCTTCACTTGATACCTGCGTGCGATGGAGCAGCTGGCTGTCAGCACCCTGTGCGGGTGACTGCGGCTGGCCCAGGCTCCACTCTTTGATTTGATGCTGTTCACTTTGATAATCTGCTGAGGTGACCGGAAGAGAAGACCCAGGGTTCCTCCCTGTCCCTCAGTGTGGCCACTCTGACTTCTGATCTTCCAAATGGAGTGGAGCGTCAATGGCAAATGAGGGGCGCTCCTAGCCGAGCGCCAGGCCTGGCTAGCTGTGATGCTGAAAGAGTGACCCTCACTCTTGATAGCTGGGGTGGCCTGGGCCTGCTGGGAGCAGCTTCCTCTGCTCACTCTTGCCATTTCTGTATAAGGTTTGGCAGCACGACTCTAGGCTGGGAAACAGGCCTGTTGCCTCAGGTCATTCTGAATCTGTAAATGCATAAACTTAAATGTCTTTGTCAAAACCTAGAGGAAAGGAGTCCATGAAAAACATTCCCTTTACAATTGACGTGATGTGCACTAAAATTTCTACATCAGAGCATTTTCATCAATTCTAGCAGTTTTGAGTTGAAAACAGACAATTCTGTCAAGAATTGTAAAGAAATTTTCCCTTCTGAGTTAGGGAGCCCTCCACTCCATCATGAAAAAAAATCAGAATGGTGAGGCTTTTCTGGCTCTCATTGTTGGCCTCTCAAAGCAGGAGTAGCACAGGGGCCGTATCCACAGGACTGCCTGAGGGGCTCCTTTCATCTTAACTGCCTCAGGCTCAGTGCAGGAGATGGACGCCCTGTGCTACAGCTGTGGGAGCAGAGCCCCGAGGGGTTTTGGTCGCTATTCTAAGTGAGGAGTAAGTGGCCAAACCTCAATTCAAGTGAGAGAGAAAGGTTTTTCCAAGATTGGCAAAGAGGAAGAGCCTGTTTTATAAATGGGATAAGCGAATCTCTTGGTGGTTAAGAGCTATGCTGTGACTCACACTCTCTGTACACTTAACAGCTGTGTGACCTTGGGAAAAACTCCTTAACCTCTGTGCCTCAGTGTCCACATTTGGATAAAAACAATGTCTGACTCCTGGGAATATGAGGATCAAATAATCTCATACAAGTAAAGCTCTTAGCACAGTCCCCAGACCTAGTAAGCATTCAAGATAGATAGATTACCTATAATCAAAATAATAATTACTATATCAATAATTACTCTTAAGTATTAATACTACTAAATTATGATTGTTATGATTATTATTAAAAGTGGGGAGTTAGAAAGGGGCTTAACCCCTTCCAGTTTTTCATCTTCCTGAATCGGTGCAAATGTATTGGGCTGAACAGTCTTTCTCTGCTCCTGAGGAATTGTTAGCTCCTCTCTGTAAACTGTGTTGCCTGACTTCAGAGGAAAGATGTGTGGATGACACTGAAAAGACTGACAGGTTTGTTAAATTCTGAATTAAACTTCACAGATCCTGACTGTGTGGACCAAACTCCATCTGAATGTTGTACTTTGATGACAGTAATAAATGTCTACTGCCCTTGGTGTACTTAGGTAACTGGTAAATAAATGGATAGTAAAGACCTTTACAATGAGGGTGGGGACTCATTTTCAATCCAGATAAAACTGTGTTCCAGATGGAGCCTTTCATTTTCCAAAAATTTTAAGCCTCTGTCCTTACTGAGGGCTTTTGTTATTCCAGGTGCAATTGCTGGTATAGTCGATCAGCCGATGCAGAACTTCCAGAAAACATCTGAGGCACATGCTTCAGCAGGACACAAGGCCAAGGGTGTCATCTCAGGTGTGGGGAAAGGAATCATGGGGGTGTTCACAAAGCCCATCGGAGGAGCTGCTGAGCTGGTGTCACAGACTGGTTACGGTAAGTTGGTGGAAAACCCATCAGGCCAACCCAGACGTTAAGTGATTTGCATGATTATACCAAGGGTTCCCTAAGATAGTGTAACCTTTCACATGGTAGAGGAGTAAAAGATAAATAAATAGTGGCTATCTCTCTTACCTCTCTATGCTTATTTACACAGAGTAGAATTTTACTACTAATAATAAAACCGTAGAATCAGGAAACCAGTTACTAGTTTCAGTGTATATGTCACAGAATCTTTTTACAGTACACTTGATAGACCAGTTTAGAGGTTGAGGGCAGAATGGAGAATACCACAGAGAAAAGAATTAACACTTTTTCCTATGAGAAATGTGGAAGGAGTGATAGGTTGTGGGAAGATAACTTTAAGAAGCAGTAGAGAATGAGACAGAGTGTGGATGTGCACATGGATCTTTGGGTTTGGGGTGGCCTTCTCACCCACAGACGCCATCCTGCTCCTCACAGCCAGGCCGGGGCAGAAACAAAGGATCTGCAACTAAAATCCCTTTCGCAAGCAGACAGCTGTGGAGTGCATGGGCGCACGGCACTACCTGCACTTGGATGGGCGTGCCAGGGCCTCTCCCCGTGCAGCAGTGTGCACACGAGTAATGGGTGCCTATGAAAGGAAGCACCTCCTCCCAGGCTTATTTTCTGCATTCGTGGCAGAGCACATTAAAGTGACTTTCCATAAACCTGTGGCTGGAACCGTTAACATTTTACCTAAAATTGGTGTCATCATTTTGGTCATGAAGCAGGCTGTCTAGCTAGTATCACAAACCACAGAAGCACCCTCCCGTTTGTCAGACATGTAAGCACACTGTCTGCATCCACATCTGGCCATAAAGCCCACGGGATGTTTCAAGGGAGGCATCCGGCTCCTCAGCAGGCCTGACAAGAGGCAGCCAGATCAGGGCATAAAAACAGCGTCTGAAAGGAAGGGAGTGGAGATGAATGAGTGCCCACACTTCAGGCAGCCATCCGGAAAGCATCCTTTAAGAGACCACACAGACGCCAGCATGTGTTCCTCTTCGCTTTCCCCTCCTCGCCCCCCTCATTTCCCTCTCCTTCTGTGAATGACATTTTCACTCACAGGGAAACTGACAGTAAGATGTGCTATAACCTGTAAGTGGGAAAAGTTAAACTCCCTTATGATACGGACTCCAGTGAGGTAAAGTCAAGTCATACTTCACAAATTCTTTTGGTTTTGAAAATGCCATTGTCCCTCACTGTGTTTCCCAGAGCTGAAGAATGCTCCCTTATGTAAGAAGATCTTACAGCAGAGCTTCACATGGCCTTTTTGGTTTCCATCACTCTTGTAAAACTTTTATTACCGAACTGAAGGTTTTACAAACCACTAACTCTTAGTCTAATGACTGCGTCGTTTATAAACATTTACAAGCCCTCAGAAAGCACACATGCTGTACCATCTTTGGTTCTGGAGAGTCTCTGTAAAGGCCTATGTGGCTGCTGCTGGGTGCCCTCATTTGGTGCTGGCACCAGGAAGAGCATGTCATAAACCAGAGGCCCCAAGCGCACTCATAAATGTACATGGATTCGTGTTTAACAGTTGGATTAAGTCACTTAGCATTTAAACAGTGTATCTAGGCAAAGGGTGTGCCTTTGTATATATCTGTGTTTTTTATTTTTTGACTAGCCTTAGCACAGATACAGAAGTATTAAGGAAGCTAACTAACAATCTAGAGGGTTTTTTTTAGACACAGGGTTTGCTGTCACCCAGGCTGGCATTTAGTCACACAACCATAGCTCACTGCAGCCTCCAACTCCTGGGCTCAAGTGATCCTCCCACCTCAGCCTCCGGAGTAGCTAGGACTACAGGCACGCACCACTATTTATTTTTTGTAGAGATGGGGGTCTCACTTTGTTTCCCAGGCTGGTCTCTAACTCCTTGACTCAAGCAATCCTCCCACCTTGATTTGATCTCCCAAAGTTCTGAGATTACACGCATGAGCCACCATACCAGACCTAGCTAGACTTTTTTAACATATCAATTACAAATGATATCTAAGCTATTGTTCATGACCAGCTACTTTCAGTGTTTTTGCTTCCTCTAATTGCTGGTCTATGCTTGGACTGTGTAACACATTCATATTTTAATTTTCTAATGCAAGATCACCAAGGTTAAGAGCATTGTAATGTTTAAAGATTATCTATACACTTGCTTCCAAAGATGTGACATCACTTTGGATCTGTAACATTTTATGGATGGCTCTGAGCAGATGACATCATTGCAGCATGAAACTGTTTTCCAGAAAACAAGTAGTAAAACTCCCTTGCTTCTCTTACCACAGGTATTTTACATGGAGCTGGACTTTCTCAGCTTCCCAAACAGCGCTATGAGCCAAGTGATCTACATGCTGACCAGGCTCCAAACAGCCATGTCAAATATGTCTGGTAAAATTATTGAGATACTTGCTCAACTTTACATCCATACTGTATGTTAATAGCTCCTGGCTTGCTCTCAAGCTAATGGGCCACACTTCCAGGGAGCCCAGGAGTAGCCATTGTTGGCACTGGCATCTCAGGCAGCACAAGAGCACTGTAGAGGGACAGGAAGGGGCTGCCACTGCCAGGTTTGGGGCTAGCTGCACAACTCCTCTGCTCCATACCTAACCACTCAAGGAAAGTCATACATTGGCAGAGAAGCCCAGTCTTGCTAGAGGGCCTGAGATTCCCTGTGGAATGGCCACTCGAATTAGAGGTGCTATTTCTAATGGAGAGAAAAGGAGCTAAGCAAAACCAAGGGAAATCTTTATTCCCAGGAGGAAGCAGGTTCTGTTAACCAGAATCAGTGTTTGAGAACTGACAATTACATTTCAAGCTAAAATGAGTAATTGGATTGGTGAGGGCCCTTTGCCCTTGGGGAGGCCGCCCCATTGGTAAATAATGAGTGCTGATAAGTGACCATCTTTTCAAAGCTGGCCCCTGGCCTCACTTTTCTCCTTTTAAACAGGAAAATGCTTCAGTCTCTGGGCAGACCAGAAGTCCACATGGCCCTGGACGTGGTTTTGGTGAGGGGCTCAGGCCAGGAGCATGAAGGGTGCTTGCTGCTGACATCAGAAGTGCTCTTCGTGGTGAGTGTCAGCGAGGACACACAGCAGCAGGCTTTCCCCGTCACAGAAATCGACTGTGCACAGGACAGCAAGCAGAACAGCCTACTCACAGTGCAGCTGAAGCAGCCAAGAGTGGCCTGTGATGTGGAGGTACGTTTCAGAAAACAGGGCAAACAAGACTAGCTGGCAGGGAGGTTGGAGTGGCTGCTGGAGACCAAGGAGAGCTGCTACCCAGAGAGGGAGTGTGGAGGCCAGAGGGCCACTGCAAAAGGGCACTGGGAAGCCCCCATCCAGATATGCACGAGCCCTGTACAGGAGAGCCCAGCAGGCGGCTAGCAGGACTCAAGGTCTGGGGCTAAGTCACCATGTCAGCTGAACAAGGCTGATCTGGCTTGGCCGTCATGGGGCTGGGGTGCTCGATGGACAGGACAATGGAGTTACAAAATGAGTGGGTCGGTACAGGAAGGGCCAGGATTGGGGCAGCAATTCCCAGCAACTGCTCCACAAAGGAGGCCCCCTTGTCTGAAAGCCTGAAGTCAGGTCCTTGGCTGCCTGAGGACCCCAGTTGGCTGCAGGGTGCTGGAGGTCTGTGGGTGCTGGAGAGGACCACTGCAGGAGCAAGGGGCATCATGAAAAAAGACTCTCCACTCCCTCCCCTACCCCCAAACCTGGTGACTTCAAGGGTCAACATTTTGTGAGGTGGTCTCTCTCTCTCACATCCACTGCTTTGTATTCTGTGGCTGTGTTCTTTCCCACAGGATGGTTTCCCACCCCATAAGTACCACAGAATCCCCCCCTGGGGATGATACTTAAGGCTCTTGGGGCAGCTCCATGGCTGGCTCCTGGCCTGCATAATGTGGAACAGATGCGCAGGCAAGGCATACTGGGTGTCAGGAGTCAGAGCTGAGCCCCGACCAGAAAGACCCCAGCTTCCTGTAGTCCAGCCCAGGGTAAACAGGTGCACCCACTGGAAAACTGCTCTGTGCTCTTCCTCCTTGGGTGATGGCCTGACCCATAAGACCCTAATTATTTACATAAGAAACAGCCATCTTTTTCCACACAGCAAGATGGTAGTGGATCAGTGGCAAACTGGAGTCTGCTGGTCCTAACCTGGGGACTGAGTGGCCCCAGCAAAGCACAGCAAACCTGCCCCCAGTAGGTTCTGCCTGATCCTCCTTTCATTATTCTCTTCCTGCGATGGGGGCATGTATCTCCGTCACACCACTGTTTGGGTAAAATTATCTGAGAAGATGGAAAGCAGCCAACCACAACAACTCTAAGATTTCTCTAGTTTCTTGGATCATGATCATAGTCAGGCTTTAAGCTAGGGTTTGGCACCAGGACTACATTGCTCCTTCAAGTTGATGACTTTCTGGGAATAAACAGAGGTCAAATGTCCAGGCTGACTTTATTAGATCTGCCAAGATCTTCTGATCAGTTGACAATAAAGCAGCGGTGATTTGGCAAGGGATAATATCATTACAATTAAGTCTTTAGTCCTTAATGAGAAACTTCCAAGGCCCTGTGACTATCATTATTCCTTAGCTGCTTGGGAAATATTTCAGATCTTAAACTCTTGAGACTGGAGATTCTTTTGCTGTTGAACTGTCTTCAACTGTGATCCTTCTCTTGTATTTTTGTTTGAGGCAGGTACTGTGGAGAATCATCATAGGCTGGAAGGAAACAGACCTCAGTTTCCCTAGGGGTTGAGATAGTATCTGGAGTCACCACTCCTAAAAGTTGCCAAGATTATTGGGACTGTGGAATGAGGAAGCAGCACTGAAGCTCTGGATACCATTTTCAACACTGATTTTCCATTGCTGTCCAGGGCTGAAAGAGGGTTGGGATTAAGAAATGCCTAAAACAGAGGTGGGAAGACATGACTGAGAGCAGGAGCACTGTGCCTGCACAGCCAAGGCCAGGCACTGGCTGGAAAGTGGATGGGCCAATGCGCCTTCAGCCTCCACATTCTGCTTTCTCTATTCCACTTTCTGTCTCATTAATATTCCTATTAATGACTTAATGGGAATAACTGCTGCCGTAATCCTGTGTCTGTAACCCCAACCTCTCCTACTCACCCCCAAGAAAACTCAAGCTGCAGAGCATCTTCGAGACTAAACCCTCCCAACTGCTGTAATCCGGAGTATTTTCAACATGAGTGGGTGGGGGAGGGTGGCCAGCAGTGCTGTCTTGTCAGGGAGCTTTCTTGAGCTGTCTTTTAGTGCATCCCAACATAATCCACAGACATAAGGAAGCCTGTCTGCTGTGAACACTTCCAGTGAAGACTAAAAGCAGTATTTTAAGATCTTCTATAAATGACTTTTCTGGTTTTTAGCTTTTGCCTTAGATGCTAGGAAACACAGTTCCTTTGAGTTTTGGAAGGAATTAATTTGTAGATGACATCATGCAGTACATTTAAATATGGCAGGATTGAGATTTTTTTTTTTAACTCAGCATTTGCTTTTCTTGGTTAAATGCAACCAGTTTAGGGGTAATAATTGCTTAATATGCTTGGCACATTATTGAAATCCCTTATGAGAGGCTCAAAATGAGTCAGAAGGTCAATTTATTCCTTGGCTGGGTTCCTTTCACAACACGGGTTTTCCTGTGCTGCTGTTCAGGAGGAGCAATTAAAACTTTTTGTGTATTCAAAGCTTTCCAGCTGAATTCTGGCCCCATCAAATGATATCAGAGCTCTGGCTTTTGCCTGGTGGTGCAGAGCTTTCATCTGTTAGTGAATCTTTGGGGACCGTTTTTCCCCAAGCTTAAAAACACAAGATCCAAACTCTAAGGGACTCCTTACTTATTTCTCTAGCAAGCCCCTTTACTATCTCTGTGCCATCACACGGACTTTCTCCAGCTGTTAAGACACTTTGATAGCATTGTTACTGGACCACACACAGAACTAGGAAGTCTTTACATTATCATTTCTTCCCGAGTAGTCTTGCCAATGTTCAGTAGGCAACAACCACAGAAAGTTTGGTGGCTACCTGAGATTCACAAATCAGTGGCTTACAACTGCAAACTTCCCACTCCACTTGATCTACACACTAGACAGCTAAAGGACTTCAGGGTGGGAAGAATTTATAGCTTCAGCTGCCTTTGAATGAGTTGATGAGCGCTTTCTCAGAAAATCTCACTGAAGAACCTAGTATCTCAGTTCTATTTGTGTTCCACTGAAGACGAGCCAGACTTTTATGAACCATAAATGTAGTTTGCATCCTCTTTTTTCCATAAAAATTTCCCCTTCCGCTGCCCAGTTTTTCTATTTTCTCTGGCTTTAAATCCTAGGATTTATAAAAGCAGAAAATGTTACAGTTCAAAAGGTTTTTTAATGCTCTGTCCAAAGCCACTGGTTTGAAAGAGGTGTTCTCCACTTTAAGATGTTCTATCTGAAGAGGTTTGGGGAGCTAGGCAAACAGAGCTTTTATTTCAGTGCTGAGTTTAATGTTGAATAGATTTATGTGGAGGAAAGATTTTTCTCCTTTTTTCTTGGGCTGGTTGCTACAGAGCAATGACAGATGTTTTAATGGTTAGTGAGTAGAATGTTATCAAATAGTCAACTTCAAACATGGGAATTTTACACACCACCAAATGCTTATTCAAAGGAGGCTGTCCTAAGTCTCATGCACAACTTTTGTTATACTGCTAAAAGTGCATTGTTATCATTGCCGTATCTCAGAGGAAAAAAGGAAACATTTTGGATTAATGGCTTTAATAGATGACCTAAAAGGCATAATGTACAAATATATCAAGGCAAAAGAACTAATTCTGTTCTGGAACTCTCATAAGGGTCTGGCAACTGATCTTTATTTTTGGATCCTAGGTAGATGGAGTCCGAGAGAGACTGTCAGAGCAACAGTACAACAGACTTGTGGACTACATCACAAAGACATCTTGTCACCTGGCCCCTAGCTGTTCTTCCATGCCAATACCATGCCCTGTGGTGGCTGCAGAACCTCCCCCCTCCACTGTTAAAACATACCATTACTTGGTTGATCCACATTTTGCTCAGGTCTTCCTTAGTAAATTTACCATGGTGAAAAATAAAGCCCTGAGGAAAGGGTTTCCTTGAGTCCCCTCTGAGGTATTGATTCGTACTTGTGTGATTTAGTTTTTGGGTTTCTTTGAGACAGGGTCTCACTACATTGCCCATGCTGACATCAAATTCTGTGGTTCAAGCAATCCTCCCACCTCAACCCACAAGTAGCTAGGACTGCAGACACATGCCAACATACAGGGCTGCATTTTTTTAAAAAAGCCTAGGCAGCTCTAACATCTGATATGGACACAAGGCCAACAGTTTCCTTATTTAGATCCTTACCGCTAAAAGATACTTCAAAGTGACAAAACCGTGTTCCTTTCCCACTTACAGACAATGATTAGCAGGTCCCTTACCACATACAGAGGATGCATTTCTTTTTGCTCTACGACACTTGCAAAAATTTCTACTGTAATTTGGATCTATTAACGTTCCATCACAGAATGTGGCCAGGCCTTACAATGGAGAGCCAGAGTTAAAACTTAAAAGTTGCATCTGTTTTTGGGCTGAGTCACCACGTTTGCCTCATGCTCTTTGGTCTGGAAAGGCCTAGGATTCTTTAAATGAAATGCTTAGGACTTTGTGGCTTATTACATTTGTCACTTAACTGCAATGCTGTTCTTTGATTGAAAGCTGCTATGTGTATTTTCTCTGAAAAAGCATTTTACTAAAATTTACAAAACAGTCTGATTACTGTCCAGGTACATTTTAGAAAAAGTGTTTTTCCAGTTTGTGTTTTACTAAGCAAACTTTGAGTAAATCCTTTGTCCTATATTGAATCCAGTCCCAAAGTGCTCAGGTGAGTTTCTCTAGTTCCATAAACAAAACATACATAGTGGGAACTCCCTGGTATGCCGTAGAGCACACAACCCCAATATTAATGCTGATAATTATACCAGTCCATTTCGTTTATTCTGTGGAATTGACTCGATAAAGCATGAAGATATTCCCAGTGTCTGATAATATTTTGCACCTAAGAATGGGTTTGACTCAAGATCTTGGGTTACCAAGATGTCTTCAATGTTCAGTAAATTATCTTACTTACAGTCCAGTAACTTAGAACATGTTTGCTGATTACATTTAAATTTGGGGCTACAGCTTGTTACCTACAACTTTGAGATGCTAAGATAATGCAATTTTAAATGCCCACGGGTTTTACTTGTTTTGGAGACAGACAGGGTCTCATTCTGTCACCCAGACTAGAGTACAGTGGAACAGTCATGGCTCACTGCAGCTTAAGCTCACTGCCTGGGCTCAAGGGATCTCACTCCAGCCTCCCAAGCGGCTGAGACTGCACCACCACAGGTATACATCACCATACCTGGCTGATTTTTTAAATTTTTTCTAGAGATAAGGTCTCGCTATGTTGCCCAGGCTGGTCTCATACTCCTGAGTTCAAGCATTCCTCCCACCTCCGCCTCCCAAACTGTTGGGATTACAGGTGTGAGCCACCATGCCCAACACCCACTGATCTTCAACTCTCACATGTTGGGCATAAGAAGTCACTATGTAATTGTTACTGGAAAGCAAGATTTAATGAACAATTCTGACTATGAAAAATGGCTCTTTGTTTGTTCTGTAAATACTCATTTAGAAAAGTGACAATTGTGAACCTCAAAAGTATTTCTAAAAATGTAAATATGTATTAATCCTTGTATCTTTTATGGTAATTTTGCATATTGATATGAATTATATAAAACTGTTTAAAAGGTATCCTTGAATTACTGACCACCCATACATGTCTATTGTTACCAGGTTTTACAATGCAAATTTTCTCTAATACCTGGGTTTAATACAGCTCACATCACTGAATTTTACAAGAGTTTAAATGGGTTAATATACAGGTTTTGTTATAATAAAGTTACTGATTAAATTAGCTTTGAATAAGTGTCGTTTTTTGAAGTTCTCCAGTATCACTTTGCTCGCAATAAACATGAATTGAAGTCCTAAAAAGACCTCTGAAAAAGTACCATACTTTGCTTGTCATTTAGCAGACATTACTCAATTCTAGTTAAGTAACCTTTTCTGGATTAGATATATATCCAAATTCTATTACATACTGTTAGCTTATTATTAATAAAGCAATATTGAGTAAGAAACCCTACATTTGAATTACCTATTTCAACTATCTGGTGGTGGCACAGCTACCAAATAGTGACAATGAAGGCCAAGGGATAGATTTTATTAGGATTCTATCTCTTCTTAGAGCCCACAGTACAGTAGTCTTACAGGCTCATGAAGAACACTTTAATCCATGGCCCAAGACCAAGTAACTGCAATGAAACGGACAAACTATCACAGTTAAAGATGTGCTAGAACAATGAAATTTTAAAGAACATGGAAATCAAATTAGCTTCATAAACAGTTAAATCCCAAACCAATTCTGATGCTATTAAGTGCCCTGCATTATCATTAAAAACTAAGAAAGACTTACTGTCCAAAGTATTTGTTAATTGTTTATTTATCAAGAGGAACTATTTCTTAGCCCACATATTCATGTGTCATAGTTCAGGAGTCAGTGACAAACTTCTAGGTAATCCAACCTGAAGAAATTCTGTGAAGAGAAATACAAAGGCTAAGTTAGTGATAAACACTCTCTCAATACTCACCATCTTTGAGGATCAAGTGAGGTCTATTCCTACTAGTAGACTTCACACCTTGATCACTCACCCTTAGCCACAGAAAAAGCACAGTTCAGGCTACCTGGACTCCAAGTTTCACTCTCCTTTAAGCTCCTTTAAGCTCCCTGACCACTCTGAATAGCCTCTTTTCCATTTTGGGCATACCACACCTTACTGTCATTGCTTGTGTGCATTGAACAAATTCTGCTTTTTTCCTTCTCCTCAATTCTACGCCCACCACTACCCCCACCCCACTGCCATTGCCCCTTATTTAGCCACATATTGTTTCTGTTCAAAGCCATATTTTTGTTCCTGTCTCCAAATGTTCTCTCATATAGGTTTTTAAACATAATCTTAAAAATGGTAAAAATCTAACAAATTTAGCCTATTAATATCTTCTGATTATAAAATGCATGCTCCCTGTAAATTTTGAAAATTTCAAAGTTAAAGCAGATATGTTAAGATTATAAACAACTATTAGTATTTTCTTGATCTTTTTTCCTTAATACACATGATACCCAACTTATGATGGTTTGACTTAACAATTTTTTGACTTTCTAATGGATTTTCTGGGGTCTTACATGCATTTTTTACTTACGATATTCTCAACATATAAGGTTTATTGGGATGTAACCCCCATATATATAGTGCAACTGAAATGCTTATTTAGGAATACTGCCAAAATAACAGTTTCACATCCTCTGTGTCACAGCAAACTCATTTACAAGGCATAAACCCAGACTGAAGTGTCAAAAAGAGACTTTACATTGTTCTTTTTTGTTAAATATACACATAAGATTCCAGAGTAGGAAGTCTCATCAGGTACTTCATACATGCTATCAAATCAATTTAGATGACTTTTCATCAGCACAGCAGTCCGTCCTTTTCTAGATATAGAACTTTAATTCACACTGTCCATGAGGCATAAGGACCTTGTGAATACAACAGACCAAACCAGACCTATGGAAAGCCAGCTAGTCACTCGTGGACACTCACCTAACAAACTATAGTGTCCCAAATACTTTTTTTTTTTAAAAAGTGACTTCTAAAAGTGTAACATTCATAATGCCAATGTAGCAATTAATAGTATAACCTATAAAAATGATTTTAAACATAAAAAGTAGTTTCATGTCAGCAAGATAGACTGTGAAGCTCCAGGTCCCCAAACCTCCACAAAAAATAATGAGTAAACATATGGACCAAAAATTTTAAAAAGTTTAGCTTTGTAAGAACTCTAGAAACCAGTTGAGCAGCAACCAAAGGAACCACCTAACCAAGAAAAAGTCACACTCAAAGTAGCAGGAAATGGCATTTTTGCTCACTCTTGCCAAACGCCCTCCTCAGTGCAATACAGTCAGAAGAAAACTACCCTATCTCTTCCCTTAGGACATAAAGAATGAAACTGGCCTGCAATGTTCTGGTTTGTATGGAGCTGCCCAAGGGACTGCTTTCTGTCTTGCCTGAATCAGAGTGCTAATGGGAACAATGGCATAGTTTGGACAGGAGGTTGGAAAGAGCTGAAAGCAATAATGGGTACCATGGCATGAGTGAGCTGCAGGGGAACACAGACCTACAGAAACCTGTGGGCAAGAGAGCAGAGGCAAAAGAATACAACAGAACAGCTAAGACTCCAAGAGGAAGCTGAAGGCAAACTCAGGAAAACTAAGAAAAACTAAAGGCAGCTGTGTATAGGAGGAAACTAAAACTAATGCATATGCACAGGCCCAGGGAAGATGGCATCCCCAGAAAAAGTTTGAGAGGACACCAAGCCTTTATGGTGCACTAATCAGTGAAGGCCTTTCCGTGCACGGAGCCAGTCTGCACAGGGAGAGGTAGCTGGTTTTGCAAATGCCTGAATTTCACAAAAGATCACAAGGCACATAAAGAAATACAGAAACATGAACGATTGAAAGAAACAAATCTCCACAAACCAACCCTGAAGAAACAGAAGCTGCTGACTTACTCTAAAAAACTTAAGAAAAACTATCTAAAAAATGCTCAATGAGCTAAAGGAGAATGTGGACAACTAAGCAAAATTAGATAAACATTATATAAACAAGTGAGAATATAAACAAAGAGAAAATGATTTCTAAAAACCAAACACACTCTGGAGGTGAAAAATATAGTAACTGAATGGGGGGAGAAGGGGTAGGAATCACTAGAGGGATTTAACAGCAGACTCAGGCAGAGGAAAGAATCAGGAAACTTGAAGACAGATCATTTGAAGTTATCAAGTCTGAAGAGCAGGCCAGACATGGTGGCTCATGCCTGTAATCCCAAAACTTTGGGAGGCCAAGGTGGTAGGATCACCTGAGCCTAGGAGTTCAAGACTAGCCTAGGCAACATGGTGAGACCCCATCTCTATAAAATTAAATTTTTAAAAGTCTGGAAGAGAAAAAAAAAAAGTAACTAGCTTAAGACATCTGACTACACCAAGCAGACCAATATAGGTATTATGGGAGTCCCAGAAAAGAAAAAGGGCAGAGAGCTTAAAAAACCACACAAAACACCTGTCAACTGAGAATAATACATCCCACAAAACAGTCCTTCAAAAATGAAGGAGAAATTCCCAGATAAAAAAGTCAAAGGAGTTTTATCATTAGATTTGCCTTACAGAAATGCTAAAGGGAATCCTTCAAGTTGAAACAAAAAGGACACCAGTCTGTAACTCAAAGTCATGTGAAAATATAAAGTTCTCTGGCAAAGAATACAGAAACTTGTATTAAAATTTGGTTTGTGCCAGGTACAGTGGCTCATGCCTGTTGTCCCAGCACTTTGGGAGGTCCAGGCAGGCAAATCACTTGCGGTCAGGAGTTCAAGACCAGTCTGGCCAACAGGGTGAAATCCCATCTCTACTAAAAATATAAAAATTAGCTGGGCACAGTGGGGTGCATCTGTAATTCAAGCTACTCGGGAGGCTGAGGCATGAGAATTGCTTGAACCCACGAGGTGGCAGTTGCAGTGAGCCGAGATTGCATCACTACATTCCAGCCTGGGTGACAGACTGAGACTCCATCTCTTTAAAAAAAAAAAAAAAAATTGGTCTGTAAATTCACTTTTAATTCTTTTATAGGATTTAAGAGACAAAAGCATAAGAACTATAGGTCCATGTTAATGGATACATAATATATAAACACATAATGTGTGATACCAGTAACACAGGAGAAGAGGGTGGGTGGTGTAAAGGAGTTGAGTTTTTATATGCAATTGAAGTTGTTATAAGTTTAAAATAAATCATTATAACTTTAGCATATTTCATGTAATTCCCATGGTAACCACAAAGAAAATACTGAATACAAAAGGAAAGACTGAAACATGTCACTATAAAAGAATGAGGAAAGAAATGAGGGACAAAGAAGCTGTAAGACATACAGAAAACAAAATGGCAATACTGTGTCTTTATCAGTAATAACCTTAAATGTAAATGGATTAAACTCCTCAACCAAAAGACGACAACAGAATGGATTAAAAACCTGGATCCAATTATATGCTGTCTACAAGACTCACTGTAGATATAAGGACACACAAGATGTAAGACTCACTGTAGATGTAAGCTGAAAGTGAAAGGGTGGAAAAAGGTGTACTACACATATAGTAACCAAGAGAACAGGGGTAGCTACACTAAATGGGACAAAATAGACCAAGTCTAAAATGTTACAAGAGACAAACGAGAACATTCTATAATTTAAGAAGATTAATTCTAGATCTAGCAATTATAAATACCTATGCACCAAACATCAGAGCTCTAAATATATGAAGCAAACACTGACAGAATTGAAGGGAGAAGCAGACAGCTCTACAATAGCAGTGGAGGACTTCAATACCCCACTTTCAATAACTGACAGAACAACTAGACAGAAGGATTAATAAGAAAACACAGGACTTGAACAACACTATAAATCAACTGGACTTAACAAAACACTCCATCTAACAACAGAATACACATTTTTCCCAAGAGCACATGGAACATTCTCCAAGACAAACCATATTTTAGGTCACAAAATAAGTCTTAAATTTTAAAAGACTGGAAATCATACAAAGTATCTTTTCTGATCACAATGGCATGAAACTAGAAATCAAAAGCCAATGGAAAAGAGGAAAATCCACAAATGTGTTTCAGTTAAACAGACTCTAACAATCAATAAATTAAAAATAAATTACAAGGAAATTTTAAAAGAAAAACTATATCAACCTAAGAACTAGAAAAAGAGGAATTAAACCCAAATGTATCTGAAGTAAATAATATTAGAGATAA